CATTAAAAAATCAAATCTCCAAGAGAGCACTGAAGGCTGAATTTTATCAAATCCAAACCGTCGTTTATTGGGATTATGTCAAGAATCGAAGTTATATYGATTGGGCCGTGGTATTGTGTTAATCATTGAATACAGATTAAGGTATGCTACTAGAAGTACTTAGTTCAGTTTAGCCATTGTTTTTCAGCAGAAGTTTCAGTTAATAATAATTCTTAAAAGCTGATAAAACTGATAAAAAAGTTTGGAATAGCCGCCTATTTATTCCTGCAGCCTTTTGAGTCCCTTTTATGTTAATTTAGTGCATTTGTATTGGCGTACGTGCAAGTTGCATATCTTAGATGGATCTTGTTACGAGGGTTCTCTGGGAGGGATATAGAAGCAAAAGGCATTAAAATTCGGATTTCTTTGAGTAAAGAAGCACTTCGGTTTTTTTATATGCACCAAGCACTTTATACATTATTTTTATATGATTCTTATTAATTGAACTAGATAAGCAGTGAAAGCTTCACATTAAATTTAAATCTTACAGTTCTATGAGTCAAAAATGTCAACGCCTACACTCAGATATTTAGAGGACTAACCTGGAGGTTGCAGCTATTTCCAGCTCACCGATGAAATTACTTCMAAATTTATCTCGGATACAACCTGTGATAGGAAGGAACTTTCAATTATYGCCTTCCTGTGTTCTTTATTTTGCACAAAAGAATTACCGAACTATAATAGATACGATCATCCAGAGATTTGGTTTACAATACCGCGTACTTAAACAAACCCTTTTGCTTGTTGCATGTAGTCATCTTAGTAGTCTGATCAAATAGATGGTTGTAGGTTGGTCTATTCATAATAGTGATTTAAACGTTAGTTCAGCCTAAATTTTTTTTTATTTAGTCGAGCTTTCAGCTCACCGAGCCATTACCAAGACTGATGAAAAAACGTTACAGTTTACAAAACAACATAAAAACAATGAGCGCGCGCTCCGAGAAGATCTAACTTTGATATTGTCTATAATTGCCAGTTCGATCCTTTTTCGTCTTTCAACCTTAATTTTTGGTAAAATTCTTTTTCGAATTTTTTAACTAATGGTTCGTCATAGATAGCACCCAATCAGACTGCGCGAATTTTTTTTAATTTAACAATATTTGTTGTGCAGTCTCTTATGGGTTAAAAATCAGTCAGCCGCGCCCTTCTTTCAAGACTTCCGGGATCTTCTAGGGGTCTTTTTGAAAGTTTCCGACGAGCAACCGCGGTAGTTTTACCCTGGAGTCCCTCCCGCGAGAAAGTACTGATTAACAGTGTCATGAGATCTATCTTGTCTAGATCACAAACCCGTCACTTAGTACAGTATTGTAATGTGCGTACTTAATTAAACGTGTCATAGGATCACTTTTAACACTACAATCATTCAGTAAAAATATTAGATAAGTAGGTCCCACTCACGCTACCTTGGGCATTGCCTACCCGAAATCGTAATCTCTATAAACGAGACGCTGTTTCCTGTTGTTCAAAAAAAAAAAAGGTATCTACTCACATTACATGGATTAAGATTAAGGGCTTTAAGTTTCTCGGCTAAAATGAAATGTCTAACGTTGCTATCAAATGCCGTTAGATTCTGTGTACAGACCTTTCAGGGCGTTATATCGGGAGTTTGGGTAGTAAATCAGCATCGCAGGTACATTTACGGTAAGAACACTGAGATTGCCTTCAAACACAGAATTACTGAACATCCTATTGACTAAAACATACATATGTAGTTGTCTCCATATGGACTTTTGTTTGAAAACTATCCAATAATAGGTGTGACATTTGTACCTCTGAGATCTTGGTAGAGTCCACTTCAGGCAGGGGGGTTGTTGGTATTGGATTGTTTCCGCGCTAATAGCTTCCTCCACTGGAAAAAATCGTTCACTTTAAAAGGTTGTAAATTTGATGTAAATATGATGTAAATTTGATGCTTAAATTTGATGTAAATTTACATCAAATCATTACATCATTTTGGACACTTACATAATATTTACATCAAATTTACAACCTTTACACCCGATTTCAAATGAGTGCGAACTCTCGAATTTTTTTTGAACGCTAAATTTTCACTCGACCGTCATTCACTCGACCGCTTGGTAACTCTCGAATTTTTTTTGAACGCTAAACTTTCACTCGACCGTCATTCACTCGACCGCTTGGTAACCAGGCACACGTGTTTAGTAAGTGATGCGTGACTTTCTGTAGCGAGACTTTCGTGATTTAGAATTATGGAGGAAGAAGAGGTGGTCGTTGTTCGAGATATCTGTGGTCCTTGTGTTTCCCAGAACATTCTACTTCACTCAATGCAATTGAGAACAATTAGAAGAACATCAACTAAACTTGATTAAAAAATATAATTTTCTATCTGATTTGGCTTTATTAACTTGTAAACATCAAATGCATGCAAATAATACTTTGCACAATTAGGTATAGCTTTGCAAGAACCATGAACTTGAGGGTGTTGTTTTCTGCATCTTGAAAAGATATTCTTATGTTGAACTAAAATACACATTTTTCWTTTCTTTCGTTATGTAAACAATTTAAGTTTACAATAACAAAATTATCAAGCAAGCGAAAAAATAATAGCAACATTGTTGTTTAAAGGTTGAAAACGAAGTAGCTTATGTTTAAATGYAACCTTCTTTCGAAGAAGTAACTATATTCTTATTCGTATTACTGTAAAAACCCTGATTGATTGAATACAAGTTTACAATGACACTTACATGTGTATGTACAGCAACACTTCCTGTACGTTTATAAAGTTGTCGAATTTTACAAACAAAAGTTTTCCCTACAAATAACGCTCTACAAGTTTCCTTAATGCTTGAACCGTAAATAAGTTCATGGTAAATAACCCTCCACCGAATATCGTCCGATAACGTCTTCATTTTAATCAGTAAACTAGTAAAATCAACAAAGAACAGCCTACGAACACTAAAAGCGATTTAAAGTGCGCGCGCTTGTCAGTGTTTGTCACGCTATTTATTTTTCAACTGTTTCGTTGTAATTGTGAGCTGGGAAAGTTAAGTAAACCGAAACTAGTTTTTACAATAAGTTCGTTTTGTAGTGCGATCACAAACCGTAGGAATTTAGCCCACAGACATACATTAACCATGGTTTTTATACTYGGATAATTTTACCCGCTTCAAGCTGTGCCAGGTTACCAAGTGGTCGAGTGAATSMCBGTCRARTRRAASTTTAGCGTCCGAAAAAAAATTCGAGAGTTCGCACTCATTTGAAATCGGGTGTAAAGCGCGCGATTTTTCCAGTGTCAGATTCCATATTGCAGCATGGGCATTACCCACTTCCATCGGGACCAGTTGCTGATTCATTTATCGAGGGCAACGTGATGTTGTGTCAGAATAAGCGCGAGATGCCGAAGTCAACCAATTTCGGTTCCACATATTCGTTTGTCGTRACAAAGATTTCCATAAAAGTCGTGAAAACCTTATGAAGACCTGTCATCGAGAACAAGTTCAGATGTTCATTTCTCGCAGATATGGTGACCACTTTACGCCACCATCGCTGTAAACCACTGTTAGTATATAAACTACTTATCCCAGTTTTTGCGATTCTCGTCTATAACTCTCTATCTATCCTTTAGATCTTTTCCATCGGAGTTTAGTGCTAGGTAGCCCGTGTTTGATGGTTTTTCTGATTAAGTAACTTAAGTCACAAGAAATCTTAATTATTGATATTTGATTTTGACACAGCTGTAGTGTTTTTTTTTGTCAATATTTAGAATTTGTTTTCTCGAGAAAAGTTTGTTTCTACTGATCGTCATGGTGTGCAAATTACCAAGAATTACAAATATACTTCCGTAATTACAGCAAAATATGTCTGTCATGATCTTGCGTTTTCTTTAATAGTTTCTAATATATCATAATATATGCTCCGGGGATCGAAAAATGGATAATCTTAAAGTGTATTTGACCTGAGCCTCGTTAACAATTCTATTGTCCGCGATGTTCATCAATTCGCCAATTCATGATTACTTAATGTATTAGGGGGATGAAGCGTAATTCACCTGAGAAATAAACGTGCAAAGTATAGCCGTGGGCTATTAATTTGCGGTCTTTTCATAAGGTCTGGTGTCCATGTTTTCCGAATCGCTACACTGCGATCTCTCAGAACTTAGACGTTATTATATAGCTTCTTTAATGGAATTGAAAAGCAAATCGTGGAGCGATTTTGTGCGTCTTTGTTCGTAAGACCTTAGTTTTTTGTTAACGAGGACTGATGGACAATTTCCGTCTTGATTGGATAATGGTTTTCTAGTTTTGCCCTGTTTCATTCAAAGACATCCTGACTCATTTGTCCAATGTATTCCGGCAAATTATAATACGCCATATAGGATACAATAGAATGCTGTCCAAGCAATACGATCAATTATATCATTCATTGAATTATCTGCTGTCAAAGTATTATGTCTACCAAAAACYAAAACATTGGAAGATTAGTAATGAAAAAAAAAACACCGCTTTAATCGAGCTTTATCAGATGGCACCAATTACTTGCCACAAAGAAATTAAAGCTATTACAGGGCTGTTCAAGAATGAGATTCGAAAAAGAAAATATTGATGGTTTACTTTCACCTGTGTATGACATAATTTACATTTAGTATCATCGTAGACAGGAAGGATGATTTACAATTTATTAGAAAAGAAAATTAAAACAAAGAAAGAGGAAGCAACAAAAAGGTTATATCTATTGTGTGATATTTTATTTCAGGATGTATGCTTTAATGGGATATTGGCAAAGGAAARGAAACGAATTATCAGTGAAAAACATGATACGACAAGATCACAAAATTTTCAAATGAATTGTTTTCTATCAATTTTACTTCTATTTTTTTGAAGAAACTATAAATGCGTTGTAGTATAAAACTCTAATTGTAGGGAACTACGTATAGGTGAGGTATTTTCTATGGCACTAAAGTCCATAAGTCATCAAAATGATAAAAAAAAATTGGCGTTGAAATTTTGCACGAAGAACTTTKACCAACCAACCAACCATTTCTTTCAGGGCGCAAGCTGTTTTCAAAGTCGACAAAGCTTTTTACAGACTGGACAAGGACTGTAAGTGGCCAAAAAAATTAAAAATCAATAACCATAACAAATACACAACATCATGAATACTCTCGATGAAAACGATACCAAAGATGATCTAGGATTCTTTTGTCATCATTTTTACCCATACTGCATTACGGTCTACAAGTAAGATCATCGATCATCGACAACATTTTAAAGACTAGAAACCGACTTTCTGTCCTGTAATTCGTTACCATGTGATTCCCCAGTTATTGATAGAAAACACTTTTACCACTTTCATTCAGTTTTCAAGTGATGACAGCCGGTTAATATTAATATGAATTTCAACTATTGAATGCTGAAAATTGACTAAAAGACTTGAATTGTAAGGAACTCGCCACGAAAATCTTGATGAATCAAGGTGATTTTAGTCAACATTGTTTACACATAACCATACTGCAAATAAATATAACAGTGACTCCCACTTTTTATAAATCCTATTTGCCATATTTGTATGGTACTAATTGCTGAACACTTTGATGTATTTTGCAGTTTTTTTTCCGGCAATGTATGCCGTATGTATGTATGTAACTTGTTAGGATCATGCCACAGAAATGATAATTCTCAATAAAAACTTCGGATAAAAGGAATATTTTATTGATAAAAAATACATATAAATATACTTAGGATATTTGGAAATGCGTTGAAGCCAGAGGCTCTATACAAACACTTACAATAACCCACTACAAGAATAAAAAAAAAGATAAAAAAAACTACAAAGAATTTACAATGCCAAAGCATGATCAATAGTTTTTCTAGTACAATCCTTCAAAGACTATAATGTTTCCATAGCACTCCAGTATACTCATAACCCTACACAAAGACGGATGATTGATTCATCTTATCCTTTGAACTTGAASGTATATTTGGCTCACAAAGCGCAAACACTTGAGCAAAAAGTAGCTATTGATGATTGACGACTACTTGTCAGGTCTCTTTGTGATTGGTTGAGTTGACTGCTTCATGCAGCCAATGAATGCTATTAAAAGACAAATGTAGAATGTGAAGACCAAAWCCAGAAGAGAACTTTCTACGAATTAATCTTCAGTTGTCACTAGAATATTACAGTATACTAAAAAACGAAATATCTAGTCGTGGATTGTGGTTTTATTCACTGATTTTGAGCTGACATTGAAGAACAAAGGTAATATTTTGTTTGTAGAATACCTCGGTTACAAGGTGAGATAAGGTTTTAAGGATTTGAGCAAATACGCTAAATATCTGCATCCAACAAATAGGATGGACCGATATTATAAAACTAAAAAAACGAAGATAAACACACCAACCTTGATCAAAATTATACACCAATTCAGAATATTAACAGCTTATACAAAGATTCTGACATCTGCACAAATTTGAATCAACGACGAGAAAGAAACGCATATTATTCATCAGCATCCACGGTGTCGATTCTTTGTTGTTGTTTTTTTTCCTTAGACATTATTGTTGCCGTTAACAAAAGTCGTTATTCGGCTCCTATAGTTATATAGAAAAGTCTATTAATGTAAAAAAAAACAAAAGCTGAAAGCATCAATTGTTTTTACTTTTGGCGTTTGCCGACTTTTTTGTTAGTTCTTGAGTCGGCTTCCATGTCATGAATAACACACAATTAAAACTGATTTTGTTTAAACCACAAGAAACATTATTATCGATTCTTATAAACTTATACAATACTCATAAAGATCTCTTTGGTCTTAACCGGGTTCAGTAATGCAGTTGAAGTCACATTACCTTTCCGCTAAACTTCACGGCAAGATGAATGCTCTACAAAATGTTTAATCATAAATTGATAAGACCATCAAAAAAGCCGCAGCGAGGTTTTATTCAAAACTCACATATATGAACAAGATCGGAATTCTTGCCTAAATTTTGAAACTGAATAAAGGAGATGCGACTTTGTACATATAATTTCGTCGTATTTTTATATATTTTTTTGCAGTCTTGTTTTTATTTTATGTCAGTTTAGTCTTGGTTGTTTTGGGTGTAATCAGTTAATCTGTTTTTCGCGGATTTCCGCTTCTTATTTTTTTCGAAAAAAATTGCTTTCAAAGCACCTCTTCAACGTATATACTGAGCTCTAAAACACGCTTTTGGCGTCCAAACTGCGTCAGAGACTCATACATTTATCAATCTTATCATAGTTCATTGGTTCTTAAGACTTTATTTAGTAAAATCATTTAGTAGGACTAGGCACAAAGATAGGATYAAAGCTATCAATCTTAGAATCGCTTTATCAGATTCCACAGCAAATACAAATTAATTTTCTGTCAAATGTCAGTAAATATCGATCAAAAATAAATAAAATGAGCGAGATAATGCTAGTRATAGGTGGGCCCAAAAACCCTTGTGTAGAAACACTTTAGACTTAGTCATGTCCTTGTCTCTACGCCTATCTGGATCTATACATATACCTTTGTTAGTATTCCTTTCGTCGGCTTAAAGTCTCTCTAAATCTTTCTTGCAATACTGAAAGTAAAGTTTTTGCCCCAAAATGCGGAATTGGTCTAAAAAGCACGTGTAATGGAGCTCGTTCGACAAACCTTGATGGATGCACTGCCTCACGATATAGTGCGCACGCATCTACTGTGCTGCAAATCGTGCATGCTATGCGCCCTCGATCGACTTCGATTCGGAATTCATTCTGTAACCGGTGTACTAATCATGACAATTTTAAAATAATTTGTATTAAATGCATGCTTAGATCCTTTTTTAGTTCTTCAAGTCGCCAAACTACAGTTCTAGTACATTTACGTCACTTATGACTGTGTTAAGGAGCTTAAAATCATTAAAACTTAGTTAAGAAAGTAGAGATCTCACCTCAATGCAGCCAGATATTTTAATATCTTAAAAGTTGTCAAATGYTGATATTTACTATATTGGAAACATATCAGATTATATGGTTCATTTTCATAGCCACGCTTGATACATCTGAACATATTTAGACCTAASATTTAAATATATACTTTTCACTAGCTTGTCAAGTATTTTCCGGRACTGGTGTTAGCTCAACATTTGATTAAAGCTCTTTAAAAAACAAGTTTGAAAATTGAATATGAAATCCTTTCAACATAACAACTGAAAAACCTATTAACAGTCAAGGTTACATAACTACTGCACCCTCACATGTGCTCACATCAGACGTCCAGTCGATCTATGATCAATAATAATAATGTATACTAAGTTATTTCCAGCTGTGTCATGTTCAGTTATATCCCATTGTCATGGAAATTTTATTCACAGGACATTAAGTATTGAGCCATAAAAAAGGTCTATTAGAAACGACAATAAAGATAGATTGGTTTTCATTAACCCGCGAAAGAAAGTGTAACAAAAGCTCGATTCACAAAAAAAAGAAGAAAAAGGAAAGAGTAAATTAATGCAGTAGGCTAAACGGTACTTTATGGGTTTATAGAAACCGCTATATAGTTTACCTCAACATTAATATCACATCTCCTAGWGCTGGTAGCAGTGTTGACGTCGATGCAGTTGTTATAGTTTCAAAGCAACACCTGACAGCTCTCACTGATTTAATATCCGCTAGTTGTTGGGAGTCTAGATAAAGCTCAGAGGCAGATTTTAGCATCAGGTAGCTATGGAAATTTCTTTTTCCTTTCTTTCTTTTTCTTTTTTTCACGTTGGGTGAATGAACAGGAGAAATTAAATGAGGATTTTTTTCTTTTCATCCAACATGGCGGGCTCATCACGTGCAACCCATGATCGAATAACCCACATTCGATATTGACGATAAACCACGCTCAAAAKAAATGAAGACGAGGCTCAGAGGAAACAATTAATGATTAAACAGTTCCCCTAGAAACTCGTCTTCAATTTCTTTTTGATCATGACCATCCAGGTCGAAAATGGACGATTTTGAACTTACGTATTTATGAAGTCTACGTACTGATATCATGTGTAAATCTCTAATTAGTGTATGTATATTATCGCGTAAAAAAACGTTGATTAGCCTCTGGCTATTTGTATTTAATTTTTTAAGCTTTTAGCGAAAGAAATACATATCAAGCATTAGTTTTAATAATGATTCCCGGAGAGGCCCTATTTCTTCAGGAATCACGTTTGATCTCATTGCAGAGGATTTTCTCAGCTATCAGTCGCTATATTCATCTAAGGATAAAGAAGTTATAGCTTCATTGTTCGACTTGAACTTGCTTTTCGTCGCCATTAGTCAAGCTATGCTCACATGCCTGCTGTCAGATTTTATAACAGTTTAGGTTGATGAAACTATAAATACAGTCTACTAAGGTTGATGATGATGATCACTCTGCCGTGTACTAAGTTAAAAGCATTCCTAACTCACTGAAAAACAAATGATTGAAGGAGCGCACTGGCGGCGTACGTACACCTGTGTTAAGTTGYTTTTATACAAAACTCCAAAACTGAATAAATTGAGCTATAAATACATTCGCAACACTGATGGTTTTTACACTCCGCTGTTCATGCRCATGAGAATGCGTTATCGATGAAATAAAGTACACCTTTTGACCAATCAGAACYCGGGTAACCAMGATGGAATCTATATTCAGCGTGATTAGCTGAAATTGATTCAATACTTTAGGAAAAKCGGATTAGTACCAAGCTAAGATATATAGTGTCTTAATTCCAATCGGTAAAAGCTTATTTGCGTTAACATCATTAGATCATCGCATGTCAGCGGTAGTGCACATTGTCATGATTACAGGATTAGAACATCGCACAGTTTGTTGAAACGTTATGAGAAGGATCAGGGCATTAGCGTTACACACAGGTAAATAACATTTTTGGCCGATAATAAGTTACAGAACACATCACGATTTCATGATTATTTTGCAGTYTTTTGCCTTGAAAACATACTTTTCTGTATATTAGTGTTATGACGCCTTGACGCCTTTCAGCTGTACTACAAAGGTGATTCCAACATCATTACACAATATAGAGCCAAGACAAGACGATATAGTAATAAAAGTATAGGAATAATATTTGAAAAAAGCAAAATGTTGTAATTTCCATTCCCCTTTACTTGAAAATGACGTTATGTTAGTAACGTCGAAACGTCGTGCATTAAAATGTTTTTTCTAAAAAACAGTTTTTTATCGCTTAATTTTATCATCAATTTAAAAAGCAAAATATTTCAAAAATTTCATTTTTTTTTCTGAAAATAACTTTGACTTTTTCTAGGTGATTATCATGTTTTAATCGGCTTGTCTTCTATGATAGAAGTGCAGCTGTTTGCGACAAAAAATCGTTGATTTATCGAGCGAGTAAATATTGCAGTTCTACCATTGCCATAGTTTTCATATCATGAAATAATGCATCATTAAGTTATTTTTTGATGGTTTTATTTTTGGAGTCTTTACATGTGAGTCGCGTAATGATGCATGTCTGTCGATTGCTGAATTTTGGCAAATAATCTCCTAATTGTCCCAACATATAAACTGAATAAAGCCAAAACGTTCAAACAACAAATGCAATCTGGAATTGAAAGAAACTATGTTTGTTTGATGAAGTGATGATGACAATCATGATGATTATTGTTGTTATTAATTTCAATGAATAAACAAAAAAACAAAAAAATAAATAAACAAAATGCCGAACAAAAAGTGAAATTTTTTTTAACTGAATATTTGATGGTTTAAATGTTCTCCGTTGTTGATTCAAGTAGATGTCTGAGTGAGTTGGCGCCAAGTGCAGAAACCACTAAACCTAAAACAGCTTGAATAACAACAGGATAGCCCAGTGTTCTTTTTCTAATCGAGACTTTTAAATCATACATACTTTCTGACCAAAATACGATAGGTCTCTCGATGTTTTCCATTACAAGTCTTAAAGATACTGTAAAGAACTTGAAAACATGCCTGAATTAAACAGTAAAAAAAATAAGGCTTTAACAAATGTATGACATATTTTAACAATATATGATGTTTGAGGCGGCATCAACCGTGTACACCATGATCGATTTTACCCCGGAAAGTTCACATGTGTGTACGTGCAATTGTTATATCCACGAGAAAAAAAAATTGTGAGTCGCAAATTCGCAATCTTGCTCATAATTTTCTGGATTCTGACTGGTTGCATAATTTAACAAGAGCAAAAAAAAAAAAAAATACTACAACAACAACTACAACAACAACAACCACAACAAAACAACAACAATAACAATAACGGCAACAATAACAACATCAGCAACAATAAAAAGAGAGATAGAAGAAGAAAACTAAGATTCAAATAGTGGTCTTGGAGACTAACCTATCATGATCACAAAGCCAATCAAATAATTGAAGTAGTGAGACCTGGTGAGACCCAACACTTAAACCATGAAAAACTAAACAAATACTGCTATATTGCACGGTGAATTTTAAGAAATCCTTTGTTTCCCGCCCATTATTGCATAAGATACATTAGTGTATGCGGTATTTGGTGAGTTCTTTTTCACAATTTCGTTTCTTTTGCACGCATTTTCAGCAAATTTAGYGTTAATTACATTTAAAAAAAATTAATTATTTAGTGGTGTTGATTCGACAATAGGAAACGAACGAGCTGAATTACTTCATATAGTTATCTATAAAATACCTATCTCTACGGAAATGTCTCTTTTGATTTTGAAATTAAAGTCATGAAAAAATCACGAAAATCGATATTTTACTTTATTTCTTAACTTTGTTTCATTGTAAGTTAATTTTTATGATTCTCTAGTGACATTCATACGAGTTCTACCAGTACATTTTCTTTTTTATATTCTATATTTATATTTCAAGCCATAAAGTTCAAGTTCAAACAGGGTTCAATATTGAACATAAAGCCAATATAGTGTTAAGATATAATGTAGCGGCGATTAAGAATTTCCTCAAGCACACCTGCTCTGTCAATCAATTTCTTGTGACGTCACAGGAAACTAAATTCTAAAACGCAATATTTTGCACTAATACTGATCGCATGCTTCATATGACTAATATCTATCTCAGAATTGTCGTGTTTTTTGCCTTGAGTTAGATAAAGACATAGTCACGGAACAATTACTTTGTTCAATTTTAAGGCTTTTGGAATTTTTAAAATGGCACGAAAATTATCTTATTTTTCATATAATATCTATAATATCATTTAATATATTATAATATAATATTTATGGTCAATTTTCGAATAGATTGCATCATTTAGACGCCCTGTGTTTTATTGCCACTATAGTTGATATAATACCAAATTTGGCCCAGCTATAGGGTGACCAGTATTCAACCGACAACAACAACAACCCAACTTTAGTAAAACTGGGAAAAAGATCTTTCGAGTCAGTACTAAACTACACGCGCTAAATCCCTAAGACAAATAGTACTAATTACTGTTATATAGAAAACAAACGCATTAGCATAATTTAAAACCGATCTCATTTTACTGTTTATACCTCACGGATTGATCAAAAGCTCTTCTATTCATCTTGACTAGAAAACAGACCCGTTCCGAATGTCAAACACTGTGATGATTCAGTACCGAAAGGAATTGCAATAACTAGAAGAAACAAAGSATTGGAAACRGGACTCACTCAGTCGTTCTTTTATACACTCTTACTGATCCAAGTTTATTCGACTGTCTTTCAATGACGCTTTTAACTGCAGTAAGTAGAAGTGATTTATTAGCATCAATAGGCAATTACGCTTAGCTGACAACAGCTTACCGATGCACCATATTTTAAAAGATCCTTTAGAAAAAGCCAGAAAGTTAGGAAGGAGCTATAAAGTGGGCTTTTTTAGGAATAAATGCTGTCGCAGTAATGACAAACGACTGGATTAAAAAAAACTACAATACAAGTTTTAAAGCTGGTTTTGGTTGATTCATAAACACAGTTAGGTCGCGTTACTTCGAGTACAACCACCGCACTTTGCAAGACACGATACGGTAAGTCTTCCGTTTTACACAGATCCTTCCACCTCCTCTACCCCCTCCCCTCTCAAAAAATACAAATAAACAAACAAGCAAACAAAATGGTCCGTATGGGGCTCGAACCCATGACCTTAGCGTTATTAGCACCACGCTCTGCCGACTGAGCTAACGGACCGTCTTTCTTAGTTATTTCACAACATTATTTGACTTCAACATCGAAAAGAGATTTATTATAGATTAACTTTAGACGTAGTTTAATATTTCCCAATACTGACAAACACATTGATCAATTATCAGCCTTCAATGTCCAACCATTCATTTAAATAATGTACWTTTTTAAAGGACCTTATAGCGCATAATAAGCTATAGAATTAAAATTTGGCGATATTTCGATACATAATATGATTTGATTTTTCTTTGATTCTTTATCGGCAAGCCTTTTATGAACCGTCTAGTCTAGTATTTGTTAATTCAGCTTACAGTTATCTTTTCTGTGCAGTAAAGGCGCGGTAACTAGGAAACGATATAGCCACAGGCAACTCAGTMAAAGTACATTAGTGCCTATATGCACGCTAAAGGTCAATCATTTTCATTTAACCATTATGACATTTCTATATAACTACATAAGCAGCTTATTGTAATGTGKCGCTGATCCGATGTCTGCCGATYCTKTCTTCCTTTYCTGTGACGTTAAGGGACACTTACATTTTGAAAAAAAAATCGTAAATAGAATTCTTAGCACTCAAGATCCTAAGTGAAGCACAATGAAATTTGTATTTTGTCTGTGTTTATATGGTTGCCATGATAACGGGGATGACGCAAAGAACAATAGTTCATAATATTAACTAGTGAATTACTGCGAAACCAGTTCTTTTACCCTTTTTATAAATGTCATCTCTGCTTAGAGACACATGTGCATTAAATCCGCCATCTTGGATCCGGCATCTTGATTATAATCAAAACCTTTCGCCCTTTTTGGATTGGCTAAGTTAAATCCATTCTCGATTAAGGAGTTGTCCATTTGATTGAGAACTGCTTGTTGATTCACTGWCTGTCTGCGTGAACCATAGACTAACATAAAAGTTTGAAAAATAGGACAAAGATAAATAACCTAGAATATCTTTTTTTCTGTTTTAGYAGGATGACAAACATGAATGGATCTAATACAACAAGTGGTAGTATCACTAATGGTTCTTCGTTTCCTGTATATACAATMGCTGGTTTTCTAGGAGTCTTGGCCGTGCTCATCTTCAGTGCTAACGCGTTCGTTATCTACTTGTATTTACACCGTTCAGARCTGAGAACCATCACAAACTTGTGCCTCGTGTTTCTTGCTGTATCTGATTTGCTGGCGGCAGTGATAGTCATTCCCATCGTCATTTTGACTTCTCTCTCCTTCACACCCTATTTAAGCATACCTACTGATGTACGWGAAGTTTTGTTGACGTCAAATGATCTTGCATCGAGGTTTGTGGCAATCTCAACTGTCTTCCACCTCTTGCTTGTGACTCTAGAGAGGTACATCATGATCGTGTTTCCAATGCGRTACGTGAGGATTGTAAACAGAAAAAGAGTTAAAACATGTTTAATTTTCGTGTGGTGTTTCTCTCTGSTTGTCATTCTGATTCAGTTGTCATGGCTAATACCGCTGACTGGTAAGAAAACTGCACGTGCTGATTTGGTGTACAGCATGACTACATTCTTTGGGATAGTTGTACCGGYGTTCTTGATGTTAATTGCGACTTACTACCACATCTACCGAGAGGTTTGTCAGCAAATTAAGAGTATTCAACAGGCGACACCATTTCTCATGCATTTGGACGACGCGGAAAGACGACGACAAGAAAGAAACTCACAAGCAAAGAAAGACAAACGACTCGAGGCGAGAGCAGTGATCATATTTGCACTGATGTTGGGCACGTTTGTAATCGGTTGGTTCCCCTATTTTATCCTAGGAATTTTATCTGACTTACAGGTCAATATCAATCTCTCTATGGATGTTAACATCATGCTACTGTTTGCAAGATTTTGTGTGTCTTTGATCAACCCACTTCTGTATACGTTTTTAAAAGCAGATTTTAGGATGGCGATGCGTAAGACTAACGTTCTTAGAMACAGAAGCACTATACTAACAAGAGCATAGGGGTTTASTTGATATATTGACTATTTTAAAATTCAGTRCAGGCGAGAATAGCCTCGTTCCTAGGATAGAAAACAATAGAATAAAYAATCAATTTACACTGACATACGGATTCAAGGCTACCACCYTGTACTTGAATTCTTCGTTTTCACTATGTATCACAGCGGCCATCTTGGAGGAACTTCAACAAAGGATTTCTCATTAGTATCTATATATTGTCCATTCCTCCCACATGGCCGCCGATCTTTYATCTTTTGAATCTCATGGGAATGATTGAAAACGATCAATTGTAAGAATAGTCAATACTAGTATCTAAAAGACCCTTTCAAAAGCCAAATCTCACAATTTCCAGTGAATAGCCGCAGTGATGAGCATAGCCGCTGTACATGTGAGATTTGGCATTTGAATTGACTGCTATACAAACATTGAAATACAAAATCAAAAAACATCAAAAGACAAAAAAAAGATAAAATAATTCGTTAGCCAATTATGATTATCAAAATATACATAATCGCAGGAAGAATAGCACTTACAAAGAAAACATTTACTACCAGGCAACTCAGGGCCTTTAATAGTCAGGTAATCATGGGAAGGTGATCGGTCGAAGATATATTTTCTACCTTTGGAAGTTAATGGTCATACATATTCATAGAAGCTCTTAAGTTACATTCATATTTCCAATATGAATGACGGCACAACCATTCTTAGATCATATTTGAGTTGTCTTTGCTTCCAAGTATATAGACMCCTTGCATGTRACGTCAAAGCAGCTTCATCTGGAGGAYAAAACAAAATATTTTTGCCCTTTTGGTAACTAGAATCTATTCATTTGTTGAAATTGCATTCCCACGAACTGCAAGGGGTCTATTAGCGTGGATGCGCAAGGAACGCGGAGTCTTTTCCTTTAAGGACATCATGGATGATACTGATGACTGCGTGCAATTAGTTATGATTAACAATTCACTGTACATTTGTATTTAATCTTGACAGTAAGCATTCTTGAAGTGCAGTAGTTCAAGCCTGTGTAAAAATTAAAGGTTTTTGAGATTAATAAAATGTAAACATAGTTGGCGTTTAAAATGTTGTATTTGTACAAAAATATTTAGTCTTGAGAAAAAGCAAATCTCTCAGATTAAGTCAATCCCAGTCGACAAGCAAAATAATTCTAGTATTAAACTGAGTATTGGTGGGTTGCATGTGACGTCATACTCAATCAAAAAATATCGAAAAATCCCAGAAATTTTTTCTAAAGAGCTCTTCTTACAGTATATCTTCAATATACGTCTAAGTAGTGTGTATGCAAATTTTCATACGGATTCAACGCTTTGGTGGCGAAACACAAAAGTTTTAGTTTGTGCGGAATTTAATTTATTCTACCTTAGATCGTAAATAAAAACTTCGAGATTAGATAAATCATTCTTTCAACTCCGTAAGAACTTACTTGAGGTAATTTTTCTTTGAAATAAAGTCATAATTGACCAAAATTGACAAAGGAAACCAGTTTTTAAAATTAATTTGAAATCAGGCGCCATCTTGGATGATCAAAGTTATCATCCAAGATGGCGTCCCCATACATATTAACCAAATTTTTCAAATCTTTATTCGCTTATATCTTCATCGAAAAGTAAGCTACAGGACCAATAGCTCGTATTCTAGATAATTTGAGTATGCTCTTTGTGACTTGCTACTTGGTTTTTGAAAATAACGAATAATAACGAATGATAAATTTTCACTTCGGGGGTTGCAACCCAAGAGAGTATAGAGAGAGTGAGAGTATAGTGGACATCATAAAAGATGCATGATTTTTGTGTTCTTACCAGAACGTTTTCAAATGTCAGGTCTATCATCACATTTATCAAAACTGGTTTTTTCTTGTTTTTAATTTCGTCAAATGCCTTAGTTAGTGCATCTTGGAATTGTATCTTGGTTTCTACAAAGAAACCTTTGCAGCCAAAGGCCTCGATGATTTTTTCGTATCTTACATTAGGACACAGCGCTGTTGAAGGTAATCTGATGATTCAAAAACGAAAAGAAGAGCGGTATAGGTTATATATCGGCAGTTGAAACCAAATATAATGTCGCCTTACTGTAAGCCAGGATCTTYTATKCCCTTCCAGTCGTTTTCAGAAAACCCGTASCCAATTGCGTTGTTGTTGATGACAATAAATACAATTGGTAAGTTGTATCTACAAACAGACAAAATTGTTAATTGAGTGACATAGTTTTAATTTTGCACACATGTTGGCTTCCTTTGAAATTATCAAAACGAAACTTTTCATAGTGAGTATTCGTGTATTGAACTTTATGCAAAGTTTCAGCTTCCAAGAATCGTGCACATGCAAAATTCGGAGTTGGAAATAGAGCAACTGATCCTACGCACGAGCTACTGATATAGYCCTATCCGATAAAATTTCTTAAGGCCCGTTTACACTGCGATTTTTTCAGAGCGCGATTGTCGAAAATTGATCGAAAATCGCCGCGAGCTGCAGCTAAATTTCAAGCATGTTCGAAACTCAGACGATAGTCGCGCGACAATCATCCTTCAAAAATCACAACTACGTACAGTCAACTCCCGTCTTACGGACACCCCGCTACAACGGACACCTCGATATTGCGGACATAAAATACTGAAGCCCCGGCGAAAAATACAAAGAAATGACTGAAAGTAACTCTCGTTACTACGGACTCTCGCTACTGCGGACGACTAAATTACGGTCCCGAGGGTTTCAGTAATAGCGTGAGTTGACTGTAAAATGTAAACAGTGTGAGACTCAACCTGAGAGATGGACATATCGTTGTAAGACCTTTTGTTATCATACCTTACAGCTGTCTCTACGTCCATCCCATAAAATCCAAACGAACTGTCACCTTGTATACACACTACTCTTCGAACTGAATCACCATGTTTTGCCTCGTTTTCTGCAACCAATGCAGCTGCAATAGAAAAACCTATCCCAGCTCCTACAGTTACAAACGACCCAAGGTCAAACCTAAGCCGAGAGACCAAAGAGACTTTTAGAGACATTTAGAGTTAGAAATCTGATAATACGCTCAGTTTTAAGTTGCTTCTATTATTATTGGTAAAACATGCTGGTCMACCCGGGCTGGTCCATCTTATACTCTTGAATCAATGCAATAAGTTAACTAAGTGATTTCTGAAATGAAATTAGTTAACTGCAGTATTGTACGTGTTGAAATTGTCCGCTCACCTTTGTCTAGGTAAGAAACTTGGTATTACTGTTCGGCATACCCGAACACTTCCAAGAGTTGCTTCGTTAATGACAACACAATCTCTTGGCAAAAGTTCTCTTATCTGGAAACATAAAAKACGAGAATTAAATCTCTCTCGAATCTGCCATAAGAAGGTTGCTTTTTGGAGTAGCCAGCAGAGCCTTCAGTAATTCAGTATTAGAATTTTGAATGATTTAGCTTTTTCTATTCTCCTTTGTTCGGTGATTGATTTGGTGGCATATAGTCTCTGGGCGCCGGCATATGATTGTATATTAACAAATAAGAGACTAGTATTCAGTACCTGACCGTACACTTGRTAGTAACTCATAGGAAATGATTCTTCGCGTACCAGTTGCTGAGAGAGATAACAGGATCATCATTTATTGGCTTAACAAAAAGATATCCGAAAAAGTAAGACCTTTCAATGCCATTATTAATACATACCTCTGTATGACCAATATTTTTGCTTGCTTCAGTTTGTAATTGCCTTAGCCAGTCACGTGATCCACATCTCTGCTTCTCTGGATTGTCATGGGAACGCCTCGATATTTCACTGGTTAGCTGTCATGTAGAAATCATATCAGTTACTGTGAACTTTCTCAATTTTATATCAGTTTTATCCTACCTTTATAGTACTTTAATTCATTAGTCTGGACGTGTTTTATGCCTAGTTTGTTTCTACTATACCTGATCAACTACTAGTGCCAGGTCTCCAAGCAAAGAAACCTTAGGTCGTACATTATTGCCCAGTTCCTCAGCACAAATATCTACCTGGAAGAAACAATACTGCATTCACATTTTATTCATGCAGTGCCAAATGAAAGAGCAAGAAACTTTGAATTCTGCCATGATGCAGCATCTGATATTTCTGTTTTACAAAATGCAAACCTGAATGATTTTGACATTTTCTGAAAACGTTGGAGGTTTTCCATAATCAAGGATCCAATTCAGCCTCGCACCAAGTAGAAGAATTACATCGGCATCAAGTAAAGCCCTACGATGTAAATATTGACTCATCAATCCATCATAATCGTTTGTATRCTCCATTCTTGTTACTCACTGTTCTCTTGCAGCAGTTACACACTGGGGGTGGTCGTCAGGCACAACTCCTTTCCCCATAGGGGTGGTGAGGAATGGAATGTTAGTGTTGTTCACTAGATCTAATATTTGACCCTCGGCAAATGCATAACCTGCACCTATACGTGGATATGATATAATCAGTACTTGATGTACTAGATGTACTTACACTAGCGCAGATTGCTATTTCATATGTATAGTTTACAACACGGACGCGAATGTTGTAAACGACTTATAAAACTCCAACACAAATTAACATGAATTACAGTGAGATAAATGACGAAAAATGACAAATAAGGTAACTGCTGAGTTTAGTCCCTATTACGCATGCGCAATTTACTGCAACACAGAACATTTTGAATAATTATCCATCCCACATGGAAAGCAAGCCATCTGTTGCATAAGCGAGTTCTGTTATCCGTCTTTGATTGCTTCAAAACCTAGTGAAGGTCTATGATGCGACACTAAAACTGAGACCTTTGCTAGTGTTGGGTTGTCTCAATGGTGACGACCGTGTTGTAAATCTGATACAACCACTAGTGGTTGTATCAGATTTACAAGGTCAATCACCTGATTAAATGGTCAGCCCTTATTGGAGCAATAGCTTATGCATTATTAATAAGTTTTATAAGATATGTAATCTGATTGTTTGATTGACTTCCTGATGGATAKATGAATAGCTTGATTGATTTGTTTAATTTGATTCATTCGATTGATTGGTTGGTTGTCTGATTTGTACTGAGGAAGAGATAAATTATGATGTGAAAATGTAATATATACCTTTTCCAATGATTATCAAAGGTTTCTTTGCTTCCAGTATTGTGTCCACTGCTTGAGATACGTTATTRGGGTCAGCTAAACTCCTGGGAGGATTTTCACATTTTGGCGCATCACTAGTGAAGCTAAGATGAAATAAAATAAACAGAAAATTAAATGAAAGTGGAACTACTGTTATTGCATATGAAATATATATGTATAAGTAGAATAATGTACGATAAAATAACAAATTAGTTTAGTGTTCTTAGTTTAGTATCCATTAAGACCGCCATATTTAATTTGAGTGCAGGTGATGTTTTTGTTGTGCGTGACGTCAAAGCTGGCATACATGATGTAGGAAGAAAGCATTATGATTAGAAARAACCAATTACCTAGATTTGACGTCTACTTTTTCTGTGATCAAATTTGAAGGAAAATCCAGATAACAAACCCCTGGTCGACCATACATACTGGTTCTGAATGCCTTTATAAGAAAATGACAATAATTGTAGTATATTATTTTGGGTAACCTTGTTCCTAGGCCCTTATAAGGGCCCAGGGATAAGGGACTGGGAACGAGGTTGTATTTTGGGAGGAACAGARAGACCGGAAAAAGGGTGGACTGCGAAGAAATACGATACCATTGCGATGAAAATACCGAAAAGATTAATGATCATAATGTGTTATAATGTAGTTACCTTTTCCATRAGAAAACCTATCTTGGACACACTGGTCGATTTAGCTGAGAACTTACAGTAAGGCTTTGCGGCTTCAACCTGTATCGAAACACAGTCTTATCAGAAATATGTGTTGAATACAGAACATAGGAATGTATACTTTAACAACAAGAGTCAGTGTTTTTTTTCCGTTTTTACTTTTGATAATGTTGYTTTAGTTAATGTTAGTCTTGACTATTTAGGGGGGAGGGGTGGCGGCTTTATATTGCTCAGAAAACAAATTTTGAAATACATGGAAGTTTTTTTTATTATTCTTTTATTTTTATATTCCGAATTTTTCAAAGCTAGTCCCTCGAACCATAATGTGATCCGCAGTCCATGTTAAATGCTCACTGCTTGCCTTAACGTGCTACGGCAGCTAAACTAGTCTCGGAATAAATGCAACAATGAACATATTCGGCAAATACTGAAATAATCAGTGAACCTGAACCTGAAACTTGAGCTTGAGCAATATATCATTGATTCTCTGGGAGTCGTTGAGATCGGCCGTAAAGTTCCGGTGTGATGTATGATAGTGATGTAAAGGTCAACAGGCGATRCCGTAATGTCAGTGAACTAAACTCATATCACAAAATGTACGTTCGAATGACCTGTGCATATTCTTGRAATGATCCCATATGCTCTTCATTGGCACCGGCAGAATGGCTAAGCACAATCATTGGCCTGAAAAAAGATCATTCATTGAATAATTCAGCTGATTCACTATCACTATATAGTGGTTATTCATATCGTTGTCCATATTCAGAGCATGCGTAGTAATTAATCATGAGCTTAAATTATAAGAGCTTATCCCACATGGCTTAGCAATGTTAGTACCCTGTTATAAATTCCCTGTGCTTTTTAGTTTAGTCTTTCTTTTAGTGATTTATAATTTAAAGCTCTTAAACATCGCAAAAATCCGCAAAAAAAGGCCACCGTATTTCCAATAAGGTAAGATTACCATGTATGCCTACTCAGAAACAAATGAAAATTTTTCGAGCGCAATCGTTTGATATGATCCAATAAATCCATCTATTTAAACATCGGGACCGAGGAGGATTGTCCCACTCAAAGTTTCCACAATGTCTATATTTACCAGCAGTTTGCAGTCGAATTGGCCATTCCACTAATAGTATTCAAAAAGCCTGGACCAGCAATTACAAGGCAAACACCAGGTCTGACAAAAAAAAACTGAATTAAATTCATCCGTCCGTCGTTCAGACCTCTCCCCTGCCAAGTGGTAGATATAGCGGTGCTTGAAAATGATTGATGCGCGTACATATATGTTATTTACTGACTGGGAGGTCCGTATAGGAAAACACTGCCCGATGTCTTGACAGTACGGAACGAGCGCAGCGAGGTCCGTACATAAAAGACCGAGCGCAGTGTTTTCCTATACGGACCGACCTATAGCCGGTAAATAACATTTTTATCTTTTTATTTGTATTTTATGCAACTTTGCTTGCAGCCTCTAGCTGCAGGATACCGTCGGACCGGGCAGATCGTGAAAAACCGGACCGCGCGCTAACCAATCACAGCGCGCGAATAACTAGGATACTGGACCGAAAAAAAACAACCGAGTCATATCGTGACCCGAAAAGGATTATATACGGTCCAGCACTCCTACCACTTTCAAGGGAGTCCACTTCTTAGCAGTGAATGTTACGTTCTTCCAAACTATCATTGGGTTGACGAGAATGCCRATATAGAAGGAAATCATCATATAATGTAAATCTGCTGTACCTTTGTGTGAAATATCCCATGGCTGACGCAGCATAACAGGCCTACAAAAAAGAGATGCTATCCTATTTCATACGACAAGGAAAATATAGGTGGAAAAACTCTACAAATTAGTACCCATAGAATAAAACGTTCATGTCATATCTTGGTCATCTTCTGCTCTGGCTTAATAGTTGCTAATAGGTGCTTTAGGGGAACACTGACCTTCAACTTGCACCTCTCAAGCAGGAGATTGTTGTTACCTGACTTTATATAGCTATTTCAAAAAAGGTTGTCGGATAAAATGCCATGGCGAATGTCAATATGGTCGAACGGCAATTGCACGACCGAAAGTAGCCATGGGTTTTGCTAGTTGAAAGGCAATAACAACTGATTTGTACTGTAAGATGGTCTGTGGTAAACATTGGCTCCATTAAGTCACCATTTCTATAGAAGGTGAATCCAATAAGTGAAATTTTGTTTATCAAAACACTTTTACCATAATCTCTTTCGGTCGTGCAATCTCCCTTCGACAATCGCCGTTCGCCGTTCTCCCTGACAACGTTTATTGTGACGAGAGGCCTTCTGGGAAGGCTTTCGTCATAATGTCATCGTGTATGAGTGATGGAACCGTAACCATTCCACGTGACCGTCGTCAAGGAGATCTGTTGTGTCAGCGGTATCGAATTATATTACTGTAGCTTTTCTGACTCGACTAGCTTTCGAAGTTTAGTTGTAAACTTCTTTTAAACAATGAACACAAACTCTTTTACGTGGCAAGAGCTAGGTACAACTTTTTATGCATTTGTAAGTTTGTTTTTTTCTAAAGAATATTTCAGATTTTTGGGCGCTTCACGCGGTTTATTTGCCAACAAACGTCAGTCCTGACCGTATGGCGTTCTTCAATTCCCTCAGGGGAACGAATAAACCCGGAAATTGGGACCAAAACCTCCATTGGGAGACCAGATATGTGACTCAAACTCTGCTTCGGCAGACTCAAACTTTGTTCGGGAAACCAATTATCATAACAATGTAGGTCAATGTAAGTCTTTTTGCTGTTTTACTATCATATTCGATATCTACTTTACTAGACACATTGACCCAATGTTGATATTAATCTGAAGCTTTTTCATAAACCTAAAATATTATGTTTGTCAAATATTTTGGAAGAAAATTCCACAAAATTTTACTAATTTTAATTAGTAAAAATGCAAAAGAAAATTGTCAGTTGTCAAATATACTTCAAAATTTTCGATGCACTCTACATAGGACAAATTGCAATCATGTGGCAATGATAATAATGCATTTTTAAAAGTCTTATTCTCATGTTATATTCAATATACACATTCATTGTTTTGTTTAATTAGTTTCTCACTTGATAATGTTTTTTTTTGATATCATGATTCCAGTCCCTTAATACCAAAAATTATACATAATCAATTTCCACATAAGCTGTGACACAATAGCAATCTTTTTATACAGTGAAAAAGTTCTCAACATTATTCCATGTAATAACATAATTAGAAATGCTGTAAAACTTGTAAAGTTTGGCTATGTTTCAAGTTGAGTTGATAGTGTTATAAATGTGTGCATGTTATTAAAATGCATGCTATTCTAATTTCGTTTAAAAAAATCTGACTTCATTGCTCTTTTTGACTATTTTGCCAACGAGTGGTAAACATTATTTTTAAATAAATTTCACTAGTATTTTACAGCATTTAAAAATAAATGTCTATCTATTCACTTCATAAATATTTATTATTAAGAGTGGTCCACCTAACTTTTCATAGTTTACAGCTACCACTACTATCAATAACCTTTTTTTACTCTATCAGAGTACAATTCTTATCTACATTTTTAACATATTTCATTGGCCTATATTTTTGGCCTGAGTCACATGCAGTCTTTGACTGCGTATTTTTGAAATAGCTGTATATTGCGTGCATGTCAAAGGATCAAAGGTCGGCTTAAAAACTCACGTTTTTGTTTCACTAGCGGCGGCAACGAATAAAGGAGACATATCATCCCGAGATTTTGATCAAATGTTCGAGAAGTTTTCTTAAGCTATAGAACCCGAAACTTATAAAGAACAAATATAATGCGTTTACTCATGAAATCATGTCGTGACCCTTCGCTCTCCGCCCCCACCTTGTAAAGAGAGCTTAGGAACACCTCTTCTAGTAATTCTCGGTTTGCACATGACGTCATCAGTCGAAAAAAAATCTAAAATCACAGACACACAACATTGCAGCACTAAAATACCTTGAAGAGCATGATAGAAGTTCTCTCCGAAAGTTTAAACTTTTTTGCTGTTTATTCGTTGAGTTATTAACGTTCAAAAATATCTCACGCAATACTGTCACGCGACTTGAAACGCGACAAATAAACCTCAGAAAGCCTATTAAGTTTAAAACAAGTATAGTTTCAACATTAAATTGAATGTTTAAAATGTTATTGTTGTAAAACTAAAGCAAAATCATGAGTTTTGACCTCAATTCGACACTCGGAGTTACTGTCCGCCATGTTCGTGTACTGGACTAGTACACTGTCATGGCTTTCCATACATTCCCTTGTAAATTAAGATCGTATTCAAACGGTTTATATATTTTTGCTGCAAAATTTCAGTTTGACTTCAAACTTTGCATAACTGTTGGGAATTATATGCTGTTCTTGGCCTTGGATATAAAATATTCATTTCGATCTTAAAGATTTTTGTAGGTCTTTCTTGACCAATCTAAAACGCATTGAGCCGTGATAATCCCATACATTCTTACCAATTTTCGAACGCTCGTATTTCTGTTAAAAACCATTATTTTCGCTCGAAATTTCGTAGTGAGAGAATACATGATACAGGCAACACCTACCGATTGCTCATTTCTCGTGCCTATGTATTTTATTCCTATCTGTTGTGCAGCAYAAGCTATTTTCAAAGTATATCGTCCAGCTACTCCGAATATATACCCAACACCTTGTGCTTTCAAAGCTTTTGCGATAACTTCAGCACCGGTAACGACGGCCATGTTGTACACTCGTTAACGCTTGGTGACTGTAATACAAGAAAACTCTATTATTTTGTTTGTTTGATAATAATTATAGATAGAAGACTTACCAAAAGATCAAAACTCGTCGAAGATCAGATTTTTAAAATATAGTGCATGCCAGAGTGCAGGTCATCACCTAATATACCCGATAGCATGACGTGTAAGTAGCGTACATCCGTTTTCTTGAAGAGGACGTTACGCTGTTCCCCAGCCTCCAAAGGGCCGGGGCCCCCCGGGGGGGTTGGGGGGACTCCCTAATATCAAAGGGTGGAAATGTTAACATGTGTCAGTACCTGTTCCCACGGTAGTTGGGTGCTACAGTTAAGTAGCACTCTAAGTATTTCTTGGGTCATGACAGTACGTTTTACATGCAATGGCATGGCTGATCGGAGATGAATCACAACTTTGATGAAATCTCTTTAGCATAAAATTCATGCAAGATCACGTTTGCATTGTTCCTCTTATCAACCCATACCTTTACATCCAATATAGGTATCTTTCTGTCTGTATGTTTTGAGGGATGATCCACTTCTAACTTTGATTGAAGGATGTATTCCGTCAGCAATAGATTTAACAGCCAACATGCATCTTTCATCAGGTTCSTCCACTCGTATGTCAACTTTCTTCATTACTTCACCTTCACTAGGTACAGCCAAAATGATGTTGATGTCATCTACATACCGTTTATACATATGTATCCTCAGACCCATGGAACTTGACACACGCTTGCCAACTCCCTATCCCACCAGCGCATAAATACTTGAGCAAGCACCCCAGTCAGCTTCAAGCCTATAGTTCCTCCTTTCACTTGGCGATAGACGGTACCATTGAATTTGTATATGTGGTTTTTCATTATAAACAAAAGTGCAACCTTCAACGCTTCTACGAACATTTTTCGTGTAGTGCGTGCATCTGGGAATAGGTACTGACACATGTTAACCATATGGTTGCAAGGTGGCTTGTGTACATCCGTTTCTCACCCCTCCAATTTGGAGGGGTGAGAAACGGATGTACACAGGCTAGTTGGATACACGAAAGAGTTCCGATATGAGGTGGTAAGATCAGCATTTAACGCGTACCGTTGAAGATTCTGGAATTAGACCAACAAGGAAGAAGACCGCTTTACAGACCAAAAGACTGGAAGAGAAATGAACGGAGTAGGGTGAAGAAAGAGAAGAAAACAAATTGGTCTAAAAGAGGAATTAGTATAAACAGTTTTATGAATAAAGATTGATTTTTCAAGCCATTTTAATATTTTTCCCCATTATAGATAATTATCGCTAAATCAACTTTGTCAAATTGCCTGTGACTTGTCGAGACCGCTGACATTAGCCGTGAAGACTCTGGGCTCTTGGAACGCCTGGACGTTTTCTGCTATTTTATCATGTGACATGTCATTTATAATCATTCATTATGTAAATATGGCGGCTGTTGAGGAGAGGAAGTCGTTCTTCGAATTGGAAGAGGTATGGCCTGTAAATTTGCCCTTTGACTGCATCAATAATTTAATTGTTTTTGTTCAAAGCTATATATTTTTCAAAGCTACGAATCGTTGTATATTGTTTGCTAGACTGCACGTGTCGAGGCGGCGTTGTTGTCGTTGAATATTTCACGATATCACAGTTAGTCTTATCGTTACAGACAAAAATACATASTTTAATCAACCCTTTGTTTACAACCAGAAGCGGGAAAATCCTTAAAGGTTTATAATTTGACAAGAGAAATCTTTTAAGTGATCTGTTGGGGTTATTTTTATGAAAGTTTCAGTCATAATTCGAACGTTTCTATGCTCAACATGAATCATCTCTCTTATCTTTTCTTCTTACTTCCTTATTTACTAACGATCCCTAAGTGCGAATCTCTGTGTATTCTTTGTCTGAATTCTCGTAAATGTAAGCTGTTTTCTCTCATTGTTCGTAATGGTAACATAAAACACTACAACTTTGACAAAATCWGCGAATTATGCGTGTGCATGCACATTAAAATAATTTGAGCATCTGCCAGAATTACTCAAACTTGACGTACAAACGTTTTGATTATCACTTTTAAATCCAGAAATTATATATAAATTTATGGCAAGTATAAGCGGTTATGCCCTGTGGTTAACCACAAACAACCCAAGCTACATTATTTTGAATAAAATTAAGAATCGGATGTGTATATATACATGTATGGTCAATAAAATCATCTGATTTCACAAACTGTCTGGTGATAGATTTATTATAGATTAATACCAATAGCAATCATGTGTAATCATCACATTTGGATTTGAATTAAAAGAAGCAATAATTTTGAGGAGCAAATTGCATGTAAAAAGGTGACAGAAAACAGATTTGTTTTATTATGTATAAATAGATTTGTTAATGCCTTGCAGTTCTGTATGCTTTATATACAGGTTCAAACCCAAGTCTGAGTCTTTGAACTTTTTTGTTAAATAGCCAAAACCTTTTTTCATTGTTTCAATGGAAGACTTCTTGAAATAAGAAATAAATGAATTCAAAGTCTGTCCCAGGTCTTCCCAAGAAAATTCAAGACATGCACTGAAGAAAGGGTGTGGATATTTTGTAATGGTTAAGTGAATTGGTTACTGTGTGATGTTTAAGTTGCATTTKATACATTATTAGCATCTTGCACAATGGCATGCATGTSTGCAAACTGAAATGTTGACACTGTGCATACTGCATTGTTGCACATGTAATTTTGCATATATAGAGAGGAGTAACAATGTCAATAAATACATTATTTACAGGATTCAGGAGAGCAAGCTTCTTCAACAAAAACTTCTGATTTATCATTTATCCATGTGAGTATAATTATTGTCTTTTTTTTCCTGATTTATATACACAGTGGATTGTTTGTTGAGTGAGAGAAAACAAGCTTTGTGTAATAGTAAATGTTGTGCCTAAATTCACTAGATGTTATCATGATTGAAATTTGGTTGATTTTCAGTGGGGATATCTCAATAGTACATTGTTAACTGACCAATCAAAGAAAACAAAGGTAATTATTACAGAACCGAGGGGTGAACAGTTGAAAYTCACAATATGGGTACCTCTGTATAAATTCACTTTTATTATATATTATTTGTTAACTCTCTATCACTTATATCCTTCCAGTGGACACTATAGTTTGGTGCCTATTAGATAATCATGCGCAATGCATTTATAAGATTGTGTGTTCATTAATTATTTGTGGTTTCAGGACCTGACATGGAAAACATACTGGGTAGATCTGTGTGGTTCCACGTTGAGACTTTACAGGGTAAGACATGTCGCATACTTTGAGGTTTTTCAAGGTCTCCTGCTTTAATTTCCTCTCTAAACTTAAAACATGTTGTGGGGAGTATGCTAAAGAATTATATGTAGAGGAAGATAGTGTGACCCACATTGATYAAAGCTTTTCATTGAGTACATACTTGGATAATCTGCAGAATGATGAAGTCATATTTACTGTAGCCCTCTTGTTCATGTATCTTATTGGTTCATCATATAATATGCTTCTCATTGTTTGATATTCAGGATTTAAGCCTCAGTCCTGAATCAGGAAACTTTCCACCTCCATCAAAAGTTGTTGGCCCAACTGGAGAGGTTAGTTACTTTTATCAATGACATGACAAATACAATTTTTTTTATCATGAGTGTTATACCATTTCATTTATATTATGTGACATAGGATGAAAAGAAAGAAGCATTTTTGGTTTTAAAGAAAGGAGCTTCAGTAAGCATATCAAATCAGGACGAGGTACATGATACATAAAATCTCTAACATCTGTAGTGCATGAAGCTTGCATTAATTTAATAGTATCTACTAGATATCCATTCCTTACTATAGTTTCTCTTTGCACAGTTTCGGCAAAGAAGAAAGAACAAGAAAACTGAACCTACAAGAAACAATGTCTTCAAACTTCAAGTAATCAACAGCAATAACTCGCCAGTGTATTTTTTTGAAGCTCCTTCAAAGGGCAGCATGTACAGATGGTAAGTCACACCATACTGACATTAACCTGCAACTTTTTATTTCTTCTAATCCATGTCATTTTGTTCCTGTAGGATAAGCAAGATGGAAGAAGGAATTGATATTGCTGACAACCCTCAGGTAGTAACATTTCCTTTAAAAAATACTGTCACAGGACAAAGTAAACGATTTTCCTATAATGGAGTGTATTATTTAGTTGGTGAGGTTTTCTTGAATTAAATTAACTGTATGCATTTTCAAATTTCTTTCAGAGTCAATCTGTATCTGGTAAGTAGTGTTACATTGTTACATKAAGCCAATTTTTGAAATATTATAATATTATTTTAAGAAAGATCACAACACATTTGATTTTTACACTGACATGTTTTGTCAGTGTTCCTGCCATCTTCAGAATGAAATTTTAAATGTTTTATTAGTACTTAAAGTGAAAAACTAATAATATTTGCTTACACTTCAAAATTTRAAYTTTAACAATTCAAWTTTTAATTGATTTTCCTTTTGSCAGCTTACAAGAAGGCAAACCCCAGTTGCTAAATGTACATTATTCCTTAATGACCTTCTGCACTACCTATTTTACTTAAAAAATAAAAACAACTTTACTTAACATCTAAATACTGAAAGGGGCAATGGCAGACCTCTGATATTGTTTTGTCTTTAGTAGCGTCAGCTAGAAATCCAGCATTAACCTACCTGAAGCGATTGCCATCCCGTAAGTTAAAATACTCTTAATGACATATAATCATAACTATTTACAAAACAGAGAATGTAAACAATAAATCCATGAAATATTTAAAACCTGAATCCTAGTTAATACAGTGAAGCCAAACTGTTATATTCGTAGCTAATTGSTCACTAAATTATAAGTCATCCAAACTAGTCTATGACAAAACAAACTAGAATACATAGCCAGTCATTCCAGGCTGCTTTAAGGGAGTTTGGTCCAGATTGACCCAGAATCCCATGGAGCAGCTAGAAACACCTGGTTACACAAAAATTAAACTCTGATAAAAAGTTCTTAAAATTYCCAACATTTTAAACACCTTTTCATTACTAAATTCTGTAGTTAAAGCTGCACTATTTTTCTTGAGATATTTGATATCCTGTGACAGTTGGCTTTTCCAACTGTGCACTGTAGCTTTTAATCCAAACCTTGTGATCAGTAAGTTAAYAAATTTAATCCAAAGTGTCTCTTGCTATGATTTGACAAGAAATATTCAGAAATCAATTTCATCTGTTAAACAAAGAAATATAAACTCGCTTTTTTCTTGTAATAGACAAAAGATTAAAGGAAGCCAAACTAGAGGCTCTGGAATCCAGACGATTTCAAAATGTTGCACCAGAACTGTAAGTATGAAATGTGTTTTTTTTTCAATGACAAATCAGCTTTGTGTCTTCTCACTTATTTTTTATTCGTTTAGAACGTATTCAGACACTAAAGATGATACTGACTCGGGAATGGAAGGTAACATTATTGATAAGAAATGTTTGAAGTCACGATTCATTTACCACAATACCATATGCATCAGTCAATTGAAACCCACGACCCACAACACCCGGGGAGGGCCGGGGAATTAACACATTATAGCCGGAGATCTAACAATGTTTTAACAGCACAATTAACAGTAAGGCAGGGGAATTAAAGTCTAAATCAAAGGAAATGATCAGTTTAGTCGCCTTTTTGGCCTGAAAGGGCCGGAAATGGGAGGACTTTAACGTTGCTGGGGTGTGGGTTGCGATGAATTATTGCTATAATATTAGAGCATAATTRGTGGTATTTAATGTTATATATTTTTTTAGGCGATGTTGAAGAGAGTATTGAGTATCAGGAAAAGCCACCACCTGATCCAAGACTGGAAAAKCTTTTGGTGATTTACACTGTTTTCTTTTTCCTTTTTCTTTTTCTATTTTCATTGCTATTTTTACCCACAAAAATCTGACTGTAAAAGAGGAACCGTATTTGTCTGTTTGAGTTTCCGTCAGAGACGAATCCGTTCTTTCTGGTGTGAAAACTGTTGGCATCCATTTCCCATTGATTAATGCCATTTCTCTCTCTTTGTAGCATCAGCTTCATCACAAAGAGGAACTTTTGGAAATGCTAGAAATGGGAGAGAAAGCGTTTGTTGGYGAACGTGGCGAACGTATGTAATATTATTATTATTCATCTCTTTTGAGTATAGAGTACTCCATTTATAGTATCAATATGTTTTTTGTTTTACAGTAAGTAAAGTTTGTGAGTTTAAAGCAACAACAAAAGCCGACTACTACCTTGTACCAGGCTACCTCTCAGCTTTAATACCACAGGGAACCCAAATCAACATTCTTGGCCAACTACATAACGGAAGATGGAGATGTTATGTGGATCTTGTGAGATCACCGGACACGTACTGTACTGAAAACCAATCCACTCATGATTCGACTACGAATTCGGAGTACTCAGAGAGGTTGTTAGGAAGTGTCCCAACAAGCTTAATACTTGAACTTGAAGAAAAAGAAACTTCATTAGCTAAAAGAACTGATTTGAGTGTTTTGCCTATGGGTACGCCAGATGTAACACCAAATGTTTCTCCTTACCCCTCCCCTCCACCGTCACCGTACTCRCCTCATAAACCAGCCGACTCATCACACGAAAGTAGCCCGGGATTAGTACGCCGTCGTTCGCCAACCAATCTTCAGCGATTTGTACCCAGTATGGACCTGTCAGATGTGGATGCATGGGAACAATTCGTCATACCGTCTCCACCCTCCACTCCAGTTACCTCTCGGTCGACCACACCCTCCCTGTCTCCTTCTGAATCCATGGAAACTCTGGATGCCATTGAAGACGATGAGACCAGTGATCGTACTTCGAGTGAATTGTCGAATGATATCCCTGTTAGCTACATTGGAAGTGCGCCTGACAGTGAACCACCTATGGTTGTTTTAAGAAATAAAGGCGAGTTGAACTTCTTTATTCATTTGATTTAGAATCATATATCTAACAAACAGCCACCACCTTACCAACGATGATCACATCGTCTTCACAATACTAACATTACTAACAAAAACAAACTCCATCATCACAAACATCAGGCACCTTACATGAAATCAGACCAGCTTCAATTCTTGCTTATTATGAATGAGACGAATTTTCGTATACCACAGATGTAGAAGCACTCAAGCAGTCTGAAGAACCCAARAACTATTCGTTTCTTGTAACAAAGAAATTGCGTCAAAGAGGAATAAGTCTCATTGTTGGTTCGTCAAGTTCAGAAGGTATGAGAAATATAGTCAACCCTTGGGTTGAACACCTTGCTATTACGAGCGCAGCGCTATTTAGGACAGCTATCGATCGACGTCATCACAACATGTTATTAATGGAGTACTGATTTCTCCCCATAATCCTTTTCGGTCTTGTCGCGCGAAGAAGRGATCGATTACTGTAAGTGACGTCTGTCACAATGACTTTCTAATACCAGCTTTCTGTATTCTAGATGAAGACGACTTGGAAGATGAAAGCACAGGTACAACACAATCAAACAATGAAATCCTAAAATTTACGTTCATACAGGGAGTCGTAACAAGTGTCGTAACAACTTGTTTAGTAGCTAAATCACGCACACCGACGGCGACGCCGTCACCGCCTACATCCTTGCATATGTATGTTCACAGCTTGTTGTTGCAGTTGTTGTTTTGTTGTTGTTGAAGGAAATTCCGCCATCCAAGCTTTCTTCAGATACTGACACAACACGATAATTGTGTTCACTCTGTGATCAAGTTATTGATTCGATTTGGTTATTAGCAATAATTGAATCATTAATCTATCATTAACTATTGGTTTAGGTGAATATAAAGCCAAGATCAGTAGGAGGTACGTGGATATAAGATTTGTACATTATTCAAGTCTTTTTTAACTTCTCTTAAAAATACAATAATGATCATTTATCAGAAAACTCGACAAAGAATTTGAACGAATTGCTGCTGAAGACAATGATGCAGGTAATACGACTTTATTTCTCTGGTTTCTTTATGTATTTGTTTTTTTAATATACCGATTTACATCTGTTTATATGTTTATCTTTCAGCATTATTATATGTGTCGGTGTTTTTTCGTGGATGATTCGCCTAAGGCGTGTAATTACGTAAATTACTCCAAAATTATCAATGGAACACAACAATAAAAAGGAAGTGAGCTCATCAAAAATCAAGAGCTTGTTATTAATAATTCACGACAAAAAAAACCGACTTGCGAAGCCTGAAATGTTTTAATCATAAATGTTTTTCTAATAAACTTGCTGTTGGTTTTCACAGTTGCYGTTTCAGAAGTATTTAAAGAAAATCAGTAATATAGCAAAAGTCAAAACGTTTAAGTTCCCGTTATTTCATTGATAAACCTCACTTCTTAAAATAACCTAACATCTGTAATACATGAATGCTTTTGAATGCGAAATTCTTAATTGTATCGAAATATCCAATTTGTCCTCTTGTCAAATTATCCATACGACAAAGACTGGCGTTTCCGTTTGTAACAAAAAGATTAATTATGCTGTATGGTTATCTCGTATTTTATTAATGCTAACTGTCTGTTTATACAAGCTGGCAAATAAAATCCAGAATCATAGTTTCGTTACTCATAAGGAATTGATATAACTCAATACATAAATGTAGTGTTGATATCTTCTTAACAGCTTGTATTGACCGGCTCTTCTATGTCATTTAATCTTTGTGACGGGGCTTCTGAGCTCACTCTAGATAACAGCCACTGGCTGGAATCATCACTACCCAACATGATGGATGTCTTGATGAACGACGAACAAGCAACGGTTTTAACGTCATATCAAGCTCCACTAACTAGCGTGTCTTGTTTTCATTGTATTCCAACAGCTGTAGTCAGGCCTTACTCAGCGTTTGTCCCAAGAAAGACTAGTGAAGCTGACTTTATAACGAGGTAATAACTCCTTGACTTTTATAAATGGGTTTTTCTTCCGTAGTTTTGTAATATTTGTACATAATTCATCTTGTTGGTACCGATGTATATGTGTATTTTATGAATGTTTGATGGTTTATTTTGMTTTTTTGCTTTTCTGTTTTGAAACATGTTTTCACACAAGTGAAATGCTGAATTTAATCTTTTAATCCATTTTCATGTGAATAGATAGCCACTCGTGGAATTCTATTGTCATTAAATGTATTCTTTTTTCATTCAATTTTTGTAGTCTTTTAATACTTTGTTTCAAAGTTCAGTTCTTAGCTGTGATATTTCCTATTATTTTCTGTGATTTTCATATATTTTACCCCTRGCAGTGCGTTGTACGTTCTCATCTATTAATCATGTCCCGTGGTACTCCATATTATTATTATTTTTCGATCTGAATGATTAGGAAATCTCGGTTGATTAAATGTCATATTTCATGTTCTTTGTTGACATCCGTTTAWCCGACCATGCCCCACGTGTTTGCTCGTGATGTTTGCTGTATTCTACTGTATTATCAGTGTTTTTACAGAACATTTTTGCTTACTGTCCGCCCYACTACAAGGTGGGGTTACGGTTACAGGTAATTAGTTCTCGTGCTTTCTTATGTAAATTGGATCATAAAGCACAATATTTACGGGTCTATTCTCAAATCTGGCCAAGTTGCGAAGCCTGTCGTCACAAATGTTTCTCCAAAGCCTTGAAGYTTCTCGCCGTGATGTAGCGAATTTATTTACCCTTGTCGCCATGAAAGTCTAAACCTTCCGTCGATAAGGTAACATGGTATGTAACGCCGCGATCTGCAAACGGTACATATCCCATAGTACCTTGTGGTGCGAAGTTCTAGCACTACGACAACGATTATTCAATAAGCTGTACACTCATTTCAAAAAGATTTTTAAGAAGTGAACTGAACTACTGACTTACCTAATGCGGTAACCATACTATTGGGTTTATGTAACAAACATCTAGTGTAATTTGTGTGGTGCACGTCAACGTTTAGTATTCAGTGGTTTGCATCAACTRTTTTTAGACCCAAGAACGTCAATCTTCGTACAGCCACCACTGATGATCTTCTTAAAGACTACAGTTCATCGTCGAACAACATACCACGAAGCAARACGTGTTTTACTCTTCAAACTGTACAAGGAAGACCGAGGTATGCTTGGGGAATGACGTAGCCTTCGGGAGCACGACAGTTGTCAAAGTAAAAAGCACTCAAATGCCCTAGGAAAATCGTCTTGTAGTCGCATTRTTTATGTACTCTTTTACAAATTTGATAATGGCTTTCTAATGTAAACTGTTTTAATCACATGTTATAGTAGCCCAGAAAATGCCCCTCCCGTTAATAAAAGAAGAACAATCCTGCTATCMCGTGGTGATAGGGAAGGTTTTGGTTTCACGCTACAGGTAATGTAGAATCATTTCATTTGATGGTTGTAACTGCTGAAGTTGTATTATAGATCAGGTCTGGAAACTCGTCGAAAACTCTGGCTGTATTTGACTATTTTTCGTTCTTGACACAGACGTATGGAATTGTGCAACAAAATGGTGAAGTAGAGTACATGACKTTTATCCTTGAAGTTGAAGAAGATGGGCCAGCTTACATGGCTGGTATGAGACCAGGTGAGACAGGATTATCAATATGGTACTGTCAGGGAATGGGAAGGGCTCATTTTAGTCACGGCGGCCACATTGGTAGTATGAACAATATAGACTCTAATATCAATTTATGTGTTCAAATATGGCGTCTGTTAGAATGTTTAAAACATCAATCAATAATTCGAACACGCGAAACTTTACAGTATTTTTAATGGTGTTGTCGTAGGGGACATCATTATCTCTATCGAAAACCAAGATGTCGAGGAAGCCGACCATAAAGCAGTAGTTAGTCTCCTGCAAAACAGTCCCTCTACTGTTAGGTAACATATGCTGATAATATTGTCAATCCAAGACGTATGTAGATTGATATTCACCAGTATTTCTTGTCATAGAATGGTAGTCGTTTTCGTGGATGCTATCAGAAGAATGCATCTAAACACTAAGATCAAAGTATTATGGGTAAGACCGACAAAATGGCGTTCAAATTATTCACGTACTGTTTGGATTACGATCATTTGTTTTAATTCAATTTGTTTAGACTGAATTACATAGCAAGGAAGAGGAATTTAGACGACTATGTCGAAAAGAGCGTGAGRTACTGACTCGCAGTGGAGATTCAGGTACAGAATAATTCATTCATTTCTTTGTTTTCAAAGGATTGTAAAACACCAAAAACGCCACAATAACCGTGTCTTTATGCATTACTAAATTTCACATTTTCACTTAATATTGGACCATGCCCTTTGGTTTTCGTGTTGTCCGCTTGATGATTTGAATTCATAACTCTCCTAAAAACGCAAGAAATTGGTTCAGTATTTAAGTCAGTCTTATGAATGTTTTCCGTTTAGGTGTACTTGCTGGTAACGATCTTGATTTGCTTCGTCCAACGCGAAACGATAGTGAATCATATCTGTATACAACAGAGCTGACCAGCTCGTTCTCTAAGGACACACGTAAAGTCAAGGACAGTGTCGTGAAGTACAGGCAACTCGTGGATGACAGGTCGAGACCAATCTCCTTACCAGACCACACCCAGCTGACAAAGCAGCGTCTCATCTCAACAACAGGGACTCAGTTACTTAAAAGCTTTGCGTCATCCGCTGAGTCTGTGTTAAAAAAATCCGCAAGTATCAAACTCAAAAAGAAAATTCAGAAAACTAAACAGGTGTCGCAGACATTTAAGTCTTACATAGATGAAGAGGATGATGGAAAAGAAGGTCCAATAGACACTTCATCACCAAAGCACCAAAACACTAAACCTACTCGACTTTCTTCGCCTACAAACAGTCAAAGAAATCTCACGATGAACCAAGGTGAAACATCTACAACTAATCTCACTATGGAATCGGAACAGTGCTCTCTGATGTCAAGCGGTGATTCAGTCTCTTTGCCTATTGATTCAAGTGTGTTTCYAAATCCAAACGACTTAAGTCAATCACAATCAGCACAAGACAGCACTTTTGATGGGAAAAACAAAGATTTGCAATCATTTCATGCAGAAAAGTCCCGTAAGGTGGTTACGTCACCTAATGAGAGTACGTCCCAGTCTTCTTCTTYTTTGTCGTCTTGTTCWGAAGACAAAAACTCCAACTCAAAATCTAAAGAWTCTGCTACGGGTCTCGTGATSTCGGAGGATGACGGAGAACAGGAAAAATCAAGACGAACTACGGACGWAGAAACAAAAACTACGAACTGCAGTGACGATATTCATATTGAGAGTATTGAGAGAGTTAAACTGAACAATGCATCCATACGACCAAATACTGACTGTAAAATCTCGTCGTTAGACCGTGAAAGTACGAATGTTGATCGCTCAAATAATTTTGCTTCTTTGAAAAAAATGTTTGAAACGACAAGTTCTTCTGCGACAAAAGACGAAACGGACGTTTTCCAGTCGACTAACTGTCGAAAGAGTTTGCCACGACGCGAATTTCCAAGAACACGGCTTGGCTCGCGACCAATGTCGTACATGCGTGCAATGGATGCCGCAGAGGAAGTACCATTGATGCCTGATCAGGTTGGGATACAAACACGTAAAGAAGACTTACGTTATGAAAGTAGTGCATAAACAGTTGTRTATTTACCTCAGCGGTAGTCAGTAGTAATATTAGTGCAGGAATGTAAGGATTTCTTGTCGAATGTGAAAGTAATTGAATCTCAAAGTAACGACTGTGTATGATTTTATAGAAAACTCTATTTCCATAGGCAGAATGCCAAAACCTTCGATATATAGGGACATCGGAATCATTTAGTTTGAAGTTCGATATTTAAGATACGATTGCGCGACGACATTTTTGCTTAGTTGTGTGATATTTGTAGACTGATGTTTGTTTTCTACTAGTATTAGAAGCAAGAACATCATTCAGACCCTTTTAGTAGGACCCTTCAAAGCGTGAATTAATAAATGAATGGCTGGTGTTGTATCTTTCTGTAAACGCATGAAATGCAATTTAATTTTTACGTGAAAMGTTTAACGCATACACTGTACATTCCCATGTTTGTACTTCCTATCAAAAATAGAAATAAAAATTTATAAASAAATTAGATTGACATAGATAGAATTAGTAAAAGATAATCCGATGGTGGAAGTTTTATATATCTGTAAATTTTGAAAAGAATTTTATAGTAAAGAATAATGAAATAGTATAATAGAATAGACGTTTGTAAATCAAAGGATTTTATTATTAAAAGAAAAAATATGAGTTTCTGCATCACATATCTATGGGACTATATTGCCTTTGATTATCTTTTTTGTGTCGTTTGCTGTTATTGTTTTGGGATGTTTATCGTCGCTCAACGCTGCAAGGGAGGATCCAGGGGATGTATGGACACAAATAGAGARTCAAACTTTGATGTAAAAAGATGGTTCTCACATGAAAGATAGAAGATAGAATTTGACGATGGGTCTTTTGGGTTACCTGTGCTTTTTCGAGCTTTACCATTTCTGGTCCGCGGTCTTCTTACCAAACAAAATGGCGGCCATGGATGTTACTGATATGGAAGATCAGTGTTCAAATCTTGAACAAATGGAGCTCGACGTAAGTATTTTTATATTCAGACAGATTGAATATGATTTTTAAGCATTTTTTGTTTTTCAGGGCGCCGCAAATGCAGAGGTTTACACACAGCTGCTTGTCATTTACCTTTTCAAGTGTGACATGTAAGAATTGAGTTTTGTTGGAATTTTATTATTAGCTCAGTTTATTTATTTAATTTATAAGATTACCTGTCAAAGGTTTACATGTACTATTGATACAGCT